AGTGTGATGGTGCATTAGAAAAGAGCGAAATGGACAAATTCCTAGAAAGACCTAGCTACCAAAATTGACTCAAAACGAAATAGAAAGTCTAAATCATAAGGGGATTGCAACTAATGGCATAAAGTGTGTATAAATGATTGAATGGGAAGCTAATGTGCTCTATAAATGTTCACCCAAACCGCAATAAAAGACAGAAAACAGAAAGTCTAAATCATGCTACAACAATGAAAGTGAAACCAAGGCTCCCATGTTCCTACCAGAAAACACCAGCCCACATGGTTTTGCAGGCAAGGTCTACCAAATGCTCAAGAAGGAGAGCCTTCCAACCTTTTACCAACCCTCCTCTGCGGAGTCGGCAGGACCCTGATGGCTTCGTTAATCCCCAAGTCCTCTGAGAAACACACGCCAAGACAAAATTAAAACGCGGGGGTTTTATTAGAGGAAACAGTTCTGGCAGAACATGGTGATGGAGCTGGGGAAGGCTGGGAGAGCTGAGAAGTCTGCTGCAAATCTGAGCCCAGGGAAGTTTCCGAGGGAAGGAGCTTGGGCAGAATCCCTGGACTCCTGTGTTTTCTAAGAAAAAACCACCACCGCCCCAGGGAACCTCCGGTGTCAGAGGAGAAAAGCGCTTCTTCTCGGGTGATTTCCTTTTTCTAATCATCCATTTCATGGGTTTGGGTTTTTTTTGTGTGGCTGGAAATGCCCCCAGCAAAATGTGAGCAGGTGTCAAAAAGTTTGTGGACAAGGACAAATGGGGCCAAAAGTTAGAGGGACTTTTCCGTGAACTTTTTGTAGAAGGCCCGTAGAAGGCCTCGTAGACATCAATTCAACAGTGGCGACAGGCACGGTCTGACAGCCTTGATTACAGTCTTCAAGTCCCCCCGTCATGCTCCCCAGCTTTTCTCTGAACTGTTCCTGAAGTTGCTTCTCGAACCTTGGCGTTGCTGGTGCCAATCTGATCCGGAACTGTTTATAAAAGGTTCTTTGTGGGAGGACAGCCGTCAAGGTAGACGTGTATAGGGGTTAAATGGCTGGGTTTGGGGAAGTCCATCCGGGACTTTCTTTTGAGGCACCTCTGGGTGGACTCCTATGGGTTTAATCAACAAATATCCCACCAATAACAGCCAATTATTATCATGGTGAGTGATCCTACACCACTGAGCAAGCAATTCTCTTTTGGGGTGGATGCTACACAGACGTGCACTAGGTCCTTGGAGGGGTTCACAAGACTACTTTGGGTTGCGTGTGTGTACAACACAAAAAGGAGATTCACCCAGATTTTAATCAACAGGGGGGTGGATCCATAAAAATCACACAATGGGTCCACCATGAAATAGTGGGGGGGCCTGGTGGGTGAGCCAGCAGCACTGTGAGCAGCAACTCCACTGAGACTGACTTCCAGAGTGGCCTCAGGCGTGTCCCCTGGTCTCAATGTTGAGGCTTTTAATCTCTTGTTTTCTATTAGATTGCCATGAGAGATTGCTGCTTGAGAAGGCTAGGCTGTGACTGACCCAAGGTCTGGCATTTTCAATCGCCTCATTGGGCAAGTGAAAGTTGGACATTGAAATAAGGAAGGCTGAGGAAGAAGCCATACAGTTGGAATTGTGGGGCAGCCGAAGGATTTTGGAAGTCCCATGGACTGCTAAAAGGACAAACCCATCTGCTCCTTAGAGGCCAGGTGCCGAGGCTTCATAGGACGGTCTTTGGCCAGGCTGTCAGGAGAGACCAGGCCCGGAGAAAGACATCACACTTGGGGAAGCAGAGGGCAGCAAGGAAGGGGAGGCCTCGACGAGATGGAGCCACTTGGTAGTTGTAACCATGGCCTCAAGCATAAGGACCATTGTGAGAGTCGCACGGGACCGGGCAGTGCGTCATTCTTTGCTGCGTAGGGTTGTTAGGAGGTGGAACTGTCTCAATGACACCTCACAGCATTTTGCATTGGGCTACCCACTGCCCACTCTTGTTGCTTAGCAACCTCTTGTCTAACGCCGGGCACCATCAGGGCTTCTTTCTCACGGCGATACTCTTCCGAAATCCCTCATTTAGCCTCTGGCCTCATTGCTAATCAATGATCATGTTTTTCATTTCCAAACCTCTCTCTCATCCTGCCCTGTCACCATGCCCAGCTCCCCTTGCCCTGGACTGCTCCGTCTCCCCCGATGCTCAGCGCTCCCCTTCCCACATTCTTTCCCACGCACCACGCCTGTGCAGTACAGCTGGGTGTCCAACTTTTCCAGCTTCGCTTCCCATCTCCAGCACACTACTGGCCTCAGCCCCATCAGCATGCTCCTCGCCAGCGCAGGGCTGCTGTAACCAAGTGCAAACTGGGTGGCTTCATCCGAATAGAATGTGATTGTCTCAGAGTTCAGGGTGTTAGCAGGGCTATGCTCTCTCTGCTGGCTCCAGGGGATGGTCCCTCTTCAATTTCCCAGCTTCAGAGAACTCCACATCCATCCAAGGCCTTGGCTTGCAGCTGCCACATAAATCTGTTCCATGGCCACCTTCCCTCTGGGTCTCTGGGACTCTTCTCCTCATTTCTAAGGACAGCAGTCAGATCAGATTAGGACCCACCCTACTCTCCTGTGACCTCGAGTTAACTGATAACATCTGCAAGGATCCTAACCTTCTCACTTACCCGCGATCTCATTACCCACCGCTGCATTTCACATTTATGCCTCCAGTGACTAGTTTGTGTTATTGATGGCATACACCTGGGGAGGGGGCTTAGCGAAGGGGCCCGTGATAGAGCATCACCGGCCTCGGCAGAAGTCTTCTTACCCAGAAGTCACAAGGAGCAAAAGGACAATGAGGACTGCTGTCTGAAAGAGCCTCAGGACATTGCCATGGTGGTGTCCACAGGTGGGAAGGGAGTCCAGCCAGCGCCGCTCTCTCCATCTCTACCTCCTCCCGCCCTCCCGGGCATGGGGGGTGGGGGCAGAGCAGTGCTTTCCAGGAGCCTTCCGGTCACACAGCACTGTGAGTGACGCTGGCCTTCTGGGGCTTGACGACGGGTTCCCATGACAAGGCCAGACGGGCTTATCGGATTAGTGCCATCTGCCACCGCACGTCACTCGTAGCAGAGGCCTGGGACACGGAGCCTTTGCCTTTTGGTGGAAGGCCAGAGAGGGGCCTGCTTGGCCTCGCGGGTCTGGATTAACAAGGGGTAGAGTGGGGAGGGGGAGCCCAGGGGCCAGGAGTCCCCAAGACAAAGGCCTCCCTTTCACCAGCACCTGTCCCAGAAGGAGTGGCAATCATGTGAACTCGGTGATTGAGGGAAAGCTTGAAGTGGAGATTGCTTTATACCCTGCGTTGGCCTGGGAGGCTGAGCATGAGGGGTTGTTGGTTTCTGCCACCTGGAAACCAGAGCAGCTGGAGGGGGCACAGACCAAATTGAGTCTCATTGCCTGTGTTTTCTTGCCTTGAAAATGGCTGCCAGAAAGGTCTACGTGCAAACATATACCCAAGATTAAGGTGACCAGATTTTAACGATGGTAAAGCGGGACACTATTGGTAAAACTCATGTCCTGGCGAAATAGCCACGTGGCAGCCGAAAACCGTATACCCTAGCTTGTCGTGCATTCTTTCCAAAAATCGGGGCTTTTTAAAAACGCAGCGGGAAGTGGGAAATTTTGTTAAAAATCGGGACCGTCCCACCAAAAGTGGGACGTCTGGTCACCTTACCCAAGACCCATGTGTGTCTGATGATGGAAAGTGACGTCAACACTGTTTTAGAAACAGCATGTTGGCCAAGTCACCTTCAAGTCTAGAATTTACCCCGGCTCATCAGGCACAGTACATCAGAGCCCTGGTTAATTGTGAATCTTAGGATTGGAGCAGCTTCATGAGGAATGGGAAGTTGCCACACGAGGGCAGGCGATGCGGCTCTCTCCTGGGGGCTGGGCCAGGATGGTGGTTTAACCACACAGATCTATTTGTGAGGCTGGTTTTAGAGAAAGAATGGAGATTCAATGTTTCGACTAAAACAAAAAAAATGTCCGCCTTGAGTTTAGGAGGTGCTCTCTAAACCAGCTACTATTTACCAGACTCAGGATTCTCCCTCTTCTACAGACCCAGCTACTGCTGGGCCTGCAGCTTCTACCCACTGCTGCCTCCACCAGCCGGGGCACAGACTGACCCAGAGTCAGTTGGATCCACTCCCAAATCTGTTTTCATCTCATTGAGCTTGCTCTTGTAATTACCTAACTTGGTTACAAGGATCCCTGGTGGTGCTGTCAGGAAAGAACTAGACTGCTCACTGAAAGGTTGGCAGTTCAAACCCACCAGCAGCTCTGTAGGAGGAAGATGAGATTTATGAGTCGAATGGACTTGAAGGTGATGGTTGGCTGGCTGGTTAGTTAGTTGACTTTTTATTTTAGTGCAAGATGTGAAGAAGAATGTTTTACACACAGGGGTTGGTTCACTTGGGTCAAAGTGAGGGCGAGTTTACATGATAGTAAAGAACAAGAAAGAGCTATCTGTGCCTCCGATAGAAGTGACCCATGGACTGTTTGCATTTTAAGGAAATCTCTTTGCTCCTCACTGTAGACATAAAGATGTATGTGTGGGTGTAAAGTTTTAAGTTTAAATCATATATATGTATGTGTATGTATAAACACACACACACATATATAATTTAAAGTAACCCCCTTCTCATAAGTACAGGGCTGGATAAGGGGCCTCTACTGTACTTGTTTTGAATAGGATGGGGAGAAATTTTTAACAGACTGAAAAATGAACATCCATGTTTTGATAATGTCAACTCAGCGCTTGCTTTTTCTTGACCTTTTCTGAAGATCTTTTGTGAAAAGGGCACATCTTGGTATTTATCAAATCTAACTACAGAGGACCGAGTAATTTCTCAACTTATAATTCTGATGATTTCACGTTAGTTTTCTTTAAAGCTTAATGCAAAAACATAAATGAATATATTTTAAAATTTCTCTGCAGATGATCCTAAAAGGTCTTTATAAAGTTCTTGAAATAAATTCTGGACAACTTGAAACTGTTCTGGGTGTTTTATTTCCTTAAGAAAACACATTCCCTACTTCCAACTTTATTGCTTTCAGATCATTTCTGTTCTGTTTCCCTGGCTCACAGTTCCCCTATGTGTTTGGGTTCCATGTGGGGAAAGGATTGAAAAAAAGGAAAAGAAATACAAAGGTGGAAAAAAAAAAACCAACCCAGCAAGCCAATGGTCATTGTCCTATGGAATCTGGGAATACTGGGAGCTGGAGGGACTTGGCAGGATTAAATCCCACAGATAGAGTTTTATCCAATAGTACAACATATTCCACTTGGTTATAAATCTAAGATGACAGGGTTCAGGGGAGGCAGGAGGGCTGTACGCGTTTGGTGGTGCGTGAAGAACGCTGACTCTGGCCTGGGTACCATCCAAGTGGGGCCGTCGCAGGGGTAACGGTCTCTCTTCTTAGCTTAATGGAATGTCTAGTTTCTTGACTTGCAGATAAATCATCTTTTCTTTACTTTTTCTTGGTCTGCAGTAATAAAACAAAAATGAGAAGGGGAGAAATAAATTATGAGGAGACAGGAAACCCAAATAAAGTGGGTGATAAATAATGGGACAATCAATGTGGACCAGCTCCATCCAGGCCCAATTTTGTCATGTGTTCCAAGGGGTGATTCGAAAGCAAGCAACCAACGAACTGGTCAACTAAATAAGTAAAAATTTAAAAATGGACAGAGTTAGACTAATATGGGTGGGCTAGCTCCTGATGGACCCTTCTTGAAGCAGGACTGGCCTAAAATATTTCCTACATAGGATCTCTCACCTTTCTGTAGATAGAGAAGGTGGGTAAAGTTTAAATCCAATCTTATGCCATTTAAAAACAGTGATTGTAACACACACACAAAGATCACCAATTCTGAAAATAGAATTGAGATTTCTTTTAACTCAAGCTCATTTACTTTTTAACATCTTGGCAGGTGAAAATTTTAATTCACAAGCTTATACAAATGACAAGTTTGGTGAATTTATTCTGTTTCTACAAATGCTGGCTTCTTGCTGAAGCTCTTGCAGAAACGCAGCTTTCCGCATTGGGTAGGTCCCCGTCGTGCCCTGCTGCCCAGATACAGTCCTGTTTAGGGTGACATCGAAGTCAGGTGTGGGGTGCTCTATGTCCCTGGAGCTCCTCAGTGCTTCCCTCCTTGGGAGGTGGTTTGTCCTGCTCAGAAACAGCAGGTAGCAGAAGATTCCTTAGATTCTCCACTGATACTGGAATCTTCTCAGACTCCAGCGCAGGGGCCCAATCAAGTTGACTGAGTCCCGTGGTCACTCCTCCAACAACAATGTGAACAAGAGCAACAATGTCATCGGGACCATCAACAACTGCAACATCAACATTGTCATCATCAACTAGAGCATCAACAAAGAAACCAACACCATTATCTTCATCTTCAAGAACTACAGCATCAACTATGCTCACAACCTCACCGACAGTGGCAGCAACAACATCAACCTTAACAGCAGCGATGCTTCATCAACAGCAGCATTAACAACATCAGTACCAACAACAGCCACCATGGGCTGGCAACTAAGAAAACAATCCAGGCGGTATGAGACACTCCATCTTCCTTTGCCCAACTGTGAACCCAGCCTCTGGGAGAGGCAGCCTACATGCAGGGCAGAGGCTATGCTGTTTGACCATCAGGATTAGGCTCTTGACCTTGTTACTTCCTGGCCCTATGACGTTGGGCTAATTCTTTGCTTTCGCTGAGCTCTGGTCTTTTCAGTTGTCAAATTCAGTTAATAACAAACCCTAGTTCATAGAGTTGTGAGAACTCAGTGGGATCATGCATCAGATGAGCTTGAAGAGAAGTAGTTGAAATCGCGTGTTTTACGGAACAGGAAGCAGGCTTACGTGGGAGAATAAGCTGTACTTCACTAAGTGAGTGAGATGGTATTTGTAACTAGGTCTGACTCCAGATGGACCTGGGGCCCTTAAAAACCAAATGATGTGGGCAGCAGAGAAGTAAGGTCCTAGTCTACTCCTGCCAGCTCTCCTACAGTGGCTGGGCCCCTGGACCTCTCTCTAGTCAGCTCTCCTGAATGAGGCAGCTGCCTGCCTGACTGTAGGGACCCACTGTGGCTGGCTGTGAGGCTCATGGGGACCACTACCTCCTCCAGGGTACCTCTATCATTCTGTGTAGGTGGGCCCCTCCCCAAGATCCCTCCCAGTTCTCAGCCTCTCATTCTGCAGTTCTCCAAGCTGCATACAGACCCAGCTTCTATCTTAGAAAGGTGGCTTGACTTGTGTCATGTGAAAAACTAAAAGCACACATCTTCCTATAAGCTTTTGTAGAGCACCAAAATAGAAAGACTATAAACCAACCCTAGGAAAATATCTTATACGACATCAGCATCTTTTGAAATCTCCTGATGACAATTGAAAAAAAAATCTTACCAGTGGCTGTACAGGTCCTATCTCTGAATTGCATTTCTATTGCTCACAGTAACTCCAAACATACTTTAAAACGTGATTGCCAGGAAAAAGTCTAGGTACACCGTTTCCTGTTTTATACGTCAGCTATGAAAACTTCTATGAATCATAATGATTATTGATGTGCCTTCTCATGTTTAATTGTATCTACGAAGGCAGGAATTGTTTTTTCTTGTTGACAGAGCAAACAATTGAGATTTAGAAAAGTTAGGAACACACAGATGGCTTGGAGGGATTCATTCCTTTATGTGGTTCCCGCCTTGTTCTTTAGAAAAAACGGCCTGATAGCTCCCTCCTCTAAGCCCTGGGGAATCATCCTGGCCTGAGTTTCTACCTGCGAAGTTTTGCTACTTTTATCTATATGGAGTGGCATTTCTTGGGGAAGCTGTAAACAACATCGGTTTGACAATTTTTTTTAACTTTCCTTTTTTTTTAATCGTTTTATTACGGGCTCATACAACTCTTATCGCAATCCATACATCCATCCATTGTATAAAGCACATTTGTACATTCATTGCCCTCATCATTTGCAAAACATTTGCTCTCCACGTAAGCCCCTGGCATCAGCTCTTCATTTCTTCCCCTCCCTCTCCGCTCCTCCCTCCCTCATGAGCCCTTGATAATTTATAAATTATTATTTTGTCATATCTTGCCCGTCCGATGTCTCCCTTCACCCACTTTTCTGTTGTCTGTCCCTCATGGAGGAGGTCATATGTAGATCCTTGTAATCGGTTTCCCCTTTCCAACCCACTCTCCCTCTACACTCCCAGTACCTCCACTCACATCACTGGTCCTGAAGGGATCATCTGCCCTGGATTCCCTGTGTTTCCAGTTCCTATCTGTACCAGTGTACATCCTC